GAACTATATGGTCATGTGACGAAAATTTTGATTCCTTCTTTCATAGATTCTGTATTTTTTAAGAGAATTTCAAGACTTCTTCATAGTCTTTATCGAGGTTATACATATATATATATATATTATATTTCTAAGTCTAGGCTATTTTGTTTTCTCTTATTGATGTTATTCACATAACTTTTCTCTTTTCGGCTTATGTTTTATTTTAATTAAGATATATTTATTCAATTAGATACAATACAAAACTAGTTTTTATAATATAACAAAAATATTCTAATTCTAAATTCAAACTAAGCGCTTTATGATTCTCTTTTAAAATTACTATGAAATTAAACACTCGAGTGTAGCTATTTTAATTATGCATCAAATACATAATAAATTATTTTGGAGTAATATGATTTTATTATTAAATCAAGAAATATAATCTCATTTTGGATTCAGAAATTGGGTTATTTTTCTTCAGTAATTAAGTTCAAAATTTTCTAAAGAATTAAATTTACGCAATTTTTTAAAATTATTTATACTCTTGAAATAATTAATTATTTTCACTCGATTTGTTAAAAAAAATAAATTAATTTGACTAATTAACCCAATTTAATTGCTAAATTTAGCCTTAAAATCTACTTTTTAATGGGAAAATTGCGATACGTTTGATAGAAGAAAAGAAAAAAGACATGAGAAAGTTTTGATGAATAAGAACAAAAACCTCCTTGGATAATCCTATTACTTAGAATCTTGTTGTTGTTTTTAGGGAAAACGACAACGTTCTGGTGGTCAGTTAAACTTCAGAAAAATAAACTTAATATTGTCACACATGTATATGTATACATATATGCAATTATTTTTCTTATTAGTTGTTTCTTTTTCGAGATTTTTATGACTTAATAAAAGACTAATTTGAAATAATATAGATAATAAGTTTTTCCAAATCGAGTCACCGAGATTATTTAAGGCTAATAATATAGACTATTCATATCTATGTATATGTATATGTATTGTAATACCTTTAATTAATTTTAATTATAATTAAAATTAATGAATAAATATAATTTTATAATTTTTTTAAATTTTTGTAAAAATAAAAAAAATTAAAGGGGGATGAAATTGAAAATAATTTTGGAAAAAATAGTTAAAAATTTAGATTCTGATGGTATTTTTGAAAAAAAAAATCGAAAATTGAATGGTCAAAATATAATTTAAGAAAATTGTGCCAAGTAGAATGTCCAATCAGCAGCCCCGATGAACTGGAGCGCGTCGTGTGGCAAAGGACTCTGATGCGGTGCCATGCGGGAGGCCATGCTAGCGATCCGCGTGCCCGGTATCGAACGGTCCGAATTTGTTCCCGCACGCACTGACGATCTGGGTTCGTTCCCTCCTCAGATGCGATCGGACCATCACGATTAAACGCGATGAACGATCCAGATCCACTTCTTATTTAAACGCGATTAGATGATTTAGATCAAATCTCGATAAACGACCCAGATTCACTTCCTATTTAAACGTGATTAGACGGTTCAGATCAAACGCGATGATCGATTCAGATTAAAAGGAGACGGATATAAATAACTCTCTTCACACCAAATCCTAAACCCTAGCTGCCAGACCCCCCCCCCTCCACCCGGAGAAGAAGACCCAGTCACCGGGAAGGGAGCCGACTGCCACCCACCGCAATGCCAGAGCCACTTCCAACTGAAGAGGTAAAAAAAAAATTATTTGCTCAAAATTCTATTTTAAATACCCTAATGACAAAATCGAAGCAAAATGACCAGCGGATTGGTTGAAAACTACGAGTAAAGTCCGATAGCGCCGCTGCGAAAAAAAAGTAAAAATCGTCTCTGATAAGACTCTTCTGGATTCCTATTTCAGTAATTTTTTTACCATTGTAATCACAATTCCTTTCTCTACAAGTTGACCAAAGCATCGGTAAGTTTCGATTTTTCGACTTTTTTCGACCAACTGAGGCTCCTTAAGTGTTTTCTCTTAAGGATTGGTAAAAAACTGGCCACCAACCAAAAACAGCCGACCTGAGGCAAACCGTCACCGCGAACAGCGGTGCCATCACGTGAGCATGACGGAGTCGCCGTACCAGAATTTCAGAATTGGCCAAAAATGGCTTCTAACACTGATTTTAAATTTTTCGGAGTATTTTTAGGTACTTGAAGCACGTTTTAATCCCCAAATAAAAATTCAAGGAATCTGAGGACTGCCAATAGGCGCAGTCAAGAGCTTAGTATTCAGACATCAATTTGATTAAGAATCTCTCACCTTATTTCATGTTATGAAATTGAAGTTTAATTTTAAATAATATTGTATTTTGTGAAACTTAAAAAATATTCATAATTAATTACAGGTTACTAATAGAGTCGGAATCAGTT